TCCTCTCCACAAACCCTTCTAGCACTGATGATGTTACCTAGTTTGGGCAATGAAACGTTTGCAAGGAAACAGCCAAGCTCAGAGAGCTTCTATCAAGGACCCCTCATGCCATCCCTGAGCTACACATATTCTCCTTTATTTGGTGCTGCTCTTAAGTTCCCATATCTCCCTGCTCAGCCCCGGCTAAAGACCTCCCCCCCCCTTCCTCTCTTCCCTTCCAGTGGCTGTCCCACGGGGCTGACTCCAACGGCAGCGGGGTCGCGGTACTCTTAGAACTGGCCAGGTTGTTCTCCCGGCTCTACACGTACAAGAGGACCCACGCTGCGTAAGAAATGGGATCGGCTTTGGGGTAGGGAAAACCCCCCCCGCAACGAGGCAAGGCGGTGGGGTGCGCATTTTCCCCTAGAAATGTCCCCATTGCCTCGTTCTCTCCTCCGCACAGGTACAACCTGCTGTTCTTTGCATCCGGAGGCGGCAAGTTTAACTATCAGGGGACGAAGAGGTGGCTGGAAGACAACCTGGACCACACAGGTGCGAGCGGAGATTATCGTAGTCTTTTATATGCTTGGGATTTATGGAGAAAGATTTGGCCTTGCTTATGAGGTAACTAAGGAGAGGAAAGGGGCTGTTGGATAGAAGCCTGGCAACCCGCTTTAAGTGGCAGAAGAGGGTATATACTAGCTATTTACGGGCCTCGGGACAATCCTCACTTTTTATTTTTCAATTGTTTATTCCTTTAATTCGATTTTTTTTTTATGGCTGCCCATCTCGTCAAAGTGACCGGATGGCTGGGGGATACCACCCGGTCAAATGAGAGCCCAAAACAGACAATATATAAAGCGAATTCAGACAATCCTCGACTTAATGGCTGCACTTGAACCAGAATTTTTCTTTGCTAAGCCAGGCCGTTGTTAACGGGAGTTTTGCACCCGTTTTACGATCTTTTCTGCTGCCGTTGTTAAGCGAATCGGTCATTGAGCGAATCTGGGTTCCTCCCATTGATTTTGTCAGAGGTCTGCCAGGAAGGTCACAAGCGGTGATCCCATGACCTCAGGAAAGTGCCGCTGCCGTAAATACATGCCAGTTGCCAAGCGAATTTTGATCACACAGCCAAATTTTGATCATGGTGTGAAATAGTGCGAAAACCGGTCATAAGTCACATTTTTCAGTGCCGTTGTAACTTTGAACGGTCACTAAACAAATAATTGTAAGCCGGAGACAACCTGTAATGCCCTTTTGGGAAGCCCTGTTCACCGTCAATTAGGCCCTGGTGGCCTCCCATCTGAACTACTCCAATATGTTGTACCTGGGGCTGCCCTTGAAGTCCTTTCAGAAGCTTCTTCAAGTACAGGTAGTCCTTGACTTACAACAGTTCATTCAGTGACCATTCAAAGTTACAATGAAAAAAAGTGACTTATGACCGGTTTTTCACACTTAGAACCATTTGAAGCATCCCTGTGATTACGGGATCAAAATTCAGATGCTTGCAAACGGGGAGAAATTATATAGAAGATATAGAATGGTAAATAAGATAGGTAATGGTATATAAGATGAGCATGAATTTAATTGAAGTCCGTATAAAGAGAGGTAATCTGGGGCCAAGCCACTTTCTAAAAAGAAGTTTTATGTCTTTGTGTTTTGTGTGTTTATGTTTGATTGAGAATTAATAAAACCTTGGAGGAATGTCAGATGAGAATAATCGTAAACAAGTCAGAGGGAAATATAAATATGATGACTATAAAACAGATAAATATAGAAAAGAAATGTAATTGAATAAGAGTAAAGAGAAATAATGAGAAATTTGCTAAAAGATATTTATGTGTCCATATGGAAATGGGATAAATTAGAATTATGCTGTGTAAAATAATGTTTTATCTGCCCTGTAAAAATTTACAATGGAAAGAGGTTTTATGTTTTCAATGTTTAATGATGTTTTGTTTGTCTTTAAAATTAATAAAATTTGTTTCAAAAAAAATAAATAAATTCAGATGCTTGGCAACTGAACTCAGGATGGCCGCAGTGTCCTGGGATCACATATGATCTCCTTTTGCGACCGTATGACAGGCAAAGCCATTGTGGAGGCCGGATTCCTTTAACAACCGTGTGACTAAGCTAACATTACTGCAGTGATTTCACTAAACAACCGTGGCAAGGAAGGTCGTAAGATGGGGCAAAATGCACGCAACAAATGTCTCATTTAGCCACAGAAATTGTTGGGCTCAACTGTGGTCGTCAGTCGAGGACGGGGTACCTGTGCAGAATGCGGAAACACAGGTAGTAAAATGGTGCCAGTGGTTTAGCCCAGGTAACACCACGATCCGTGTCTGTGGAGATTCTCAGCCCTCCAAGGTCCTGGTTGTCCCAAAGGTGCTTTTTTTTTTTCAAGAGGTAGCTGGACTTTCTGTTTTTTCTTTGAAGACGTTTCGCTTCTCCGTCAAAAAGCTTCTTCAGCTCTTCTTCTGGGAGGAGAAGCAAAAGCCTCTTGAAAAAAAAGCACCTTTGCCCCAATCTGTGAGCTGCATACACCTGTGGGCTTCTGGGTGTGATTCAAGGTGCCGATTGTCCCCTTTTAAATCAGGTGTCTTCAAACTTGACAGCTGTAAGACTTGTGCACTTCAACTCCCAGAATTCCTCCTCCAGTCAGGTTAGCTCAGGAATTCTGGGAGTTGAAGTCTACAAGTCTTAAAATGGCCGACGTTGAAGACCCTATGCTAGACCAGGGGT